CCCTGGCACAACTTGAGGCCATTTGCCCTCGTCCCATCACCTGTTCCCTGCGCGCAGAGCCTGACCCCCCCTGGCTCCCCCCTCCTGTCAGGCAGTTGTAGGGAGCGATAAGGGCTCCCCTCAGCCTCCTCTTCTCCAGGCTGAACACTCCCAGGTCCCCCAGCCTCTCCCCACCAGCCTTGGGCTCCAGACCCCTCCCCAGCTCCGGTGCCCTTCTCTGGACACACTCCAGCCCCTCCATGTCCTTCTTGTAGTGAGGGGCCCAACCCTGGCCCCAGCATTCAAGGGGCGGCCTCACCAGTGCCCAGGACAGGGGCATGGTCACTGCCCTGCTCCTGCTGCCCATGCCATTCCTGATACAAAAAGTCCTGGGCTCCCTAGACCCAAAGCCCTGCCATGGGCACATGTCAGAAATTTTCAGTAACACCAACAATTTCAACTCATGCAATGAAACAGCTTCAAAATCCTTCCATGAAGTTATCTTCACCATCGCATGTGGTGTCTGGCTATCTGTACTGGACAACACACAGATAGTTCTGATGAGAGCACTTGCATGTCTGTAGCCAAGGGGCATCTGTGTGTTTGCTGTGTGCTTGCCTCCATCCCCAGTTCCCCCACTCCTGTGCTTGTAGGACAGCAGGATGCAACCTGGGCTCTGGCTGGCGACCAGCACCCTGGCAGCAGTGCTGGGCATGGCTCTGCTGGAGGAGGAGGTGTGTAAGGCACCAGATGGCAAGGATGGCTTCCCGGGAGTCCCTGGCCTCAATGGAAGACCAGGGCAGAAGGGTGACACGGGAGAGCCAGGTAAGGGGGAGCCAGGAATGTGCAGTGTGGGTGGCACAGGAGCTCCTTGGTAGGAGCATCATGGGCTGTGGGAGCAGCTCGGGAGATGCCAGACTTGCATGAACTGCTCCTCCTTACCATCTCTCCACAGGAAAATCAACACAGAGGACGGGCATCCGGGGACTCAAAGGGGATGCAGGAGAGCCGGGGCATCCTGGCAATCCAGGGAACCAGGGCTACCATGGCTCACAGGGCCCTCCTGGGCCCCCAGGGCAGCCGGGGCCAAAGGGGCAAAAGGGGAAAGCTGGCAACATCCTGGAGCAGCCACGTCCTGCCTTCTCCGCCTCTCGGAAGTCCCCACGGTCCATGGGCAGGAGGGTGGTGTTTGACAACATCATCACCAACCAGGAGAACTCCTATAGTCCCCAGACGGGGGAGTTCACCTGCCGCATCCCCGGGCTCTACTACTTCGCCTACCAGGTGGTCTCCATCGGGGACCTCTGCCTGAGCATAACCAAGAACGAGGAGCCCATGGTCAGCTTCTGTGACCACAACAGCCGCGACATCCTGCAGGTGAACTCAGGCAGCAGCGTGCTCAGCCTGTCCAAGGGAGACCGGGTCTCCGTGAGCACCGACCCTGCCAGGAGCAGCATGATTTATAGTGGCTCTGAGGCAGACAGCGTCTTCAGTGGCTTCATGCTCTTCCCACAGATGGGCTGATGGACGACCAGCCCAGACCCGCTTAGCCCCAGAGCATTGCGGTGTGTGTGTGTCTGCATGTGTTTTCCCCCTGTGAGTGTGTGGGATGGTTTAGTACCACAGCAAACCAGGATGGCCCCAAACTGAGCCACCAGACAGGTCCAGTGTGCCCGCCAGTGTCACGGTGGGGCTGGGCTGTGGGTCACCACTGCAGCAGCGAGACCCCTGCCAGCAGTTGCCTCCGTGCTGCGCCTGCCCGCTCCATCCTAGAGGCAGAGGACTCCTGGCCTCAGCAGCTCCCTCTGCTCCTGGGTGCTCAGACCCCACACCGGAGGGGACTGGTCATCATTGGGGCTGTTGGCCAGCTGTGGGAATAAAGATTCCTGAGTGGGAAATCACTGCGTGCCCCTGCTTCTGCTACATTAACCATCACAAACACCCTTCTGGCGCCAGGCCACTACTGCCTCTTACAGCCTCCCCTTCAGTATAAATAAACCCTTCTTCCAAGACGGCCACTTGGGTTTTCTTTCCTATTCAAGCGTCTTCCCCAAACCATCCATGTCCTGGGCCTCTTCCTAAGCTGCCCAGGGAGAGAAGCAATCCCAGTTTGCCCCTGACCAAGCACAGACCCCAGTTGCAAAGGTGAAAGGACAGGAGGGAACTGAGTGCGCAGATAGAGCTGGCATTTGCAGGAATGGGAAATCTCTGGGGCTGGCTTGCATCTGTCCTTCTCTGGATGAGTCCAAGCTACCTGTCCTGTACAGGGGTGAGTACAGACCATGCACCTCATACACACGGCCCTCTGTCGGTACCCAAACTCTCCCAGGAAGGGGTTGTGGCCCTCCAGCCTTTCAGCAGGGAAGGACAGGGACATCAGGGTGACTGATGGGGTTGTGGGATGATCGCAGTGTGGTTCCAGCACGATGCTCTTCTCTTTTCAGCTTGGGTGAGAGCACTGGGAGTAGGGCAGGCTGGGCATGTGTCAGGTGACCAGAAAGCATTGGGGAAGCCATGCAGGTGCCATGCCCTGAGACTGCTGCTCGGAGGAGATGCTCCACACATGCTGGGCAATCAAATGTCTTCATTCCTGGAGCAGTGAGGAGGAGGCCAGGTCACCTGCAAGGCGCAGCACCCTGACCAGGGGTGGTGGGGCCCCGGTGCATTCAGCACCCAGCAGAGCTGGTGGAGCACAGGGTGCAGAGAGGACAGCCATCCCGCAGGTCAGCAACCCACAAGGAGAAACGTCCTTCAGTCCCATTGCCTGGGGGTGCAGCATCTCCCTTCAGGACCAGGAGATGGCCTTGCACCAGGCCATCACTGCACAAATGGCATGAGGGTCTGCTTCCCGTCCGCTTGCTGCCCTTCTGCTCGGAAATGAGTTAAGGATGGGGGAAAACCAGGCAATTTGCAGAGTGATGCTCCCCATGGTGGATGGAAGGCTTGCAGCACACCTCTTGCCAGACGCTCATCCCACCTCTGTCCTTCCAGCCCCTGCTGCTGCAGTGGCACGAGCACAGGTCTCGCTGGACAGCCGGGAAAGTGCTTGCTCAGAGGAAGCAATCAAGCAGGAGGATGTGAAAGTCAGCTGAGGGCCAGATGGGGGTTCTGGGTCCCCAATGGCCCTTCCGTAACTACATGACTTCCTCCAGGAGGGAGTCACAGAGAGTGACCCACGCCGAGCTGTGCCCACAACAGCCAGAGGGCTCAGCAGCGCAGGACCTTGTGCCCTGCTCCCCCCACCAGAGGTAAGAGGTGCTGCAGGGTCCATCTGCTTGGGGACTGGGGGTCCGGCAGCATGGCACAGTGCTGGGCTATGTGAGAGGAGGAGGAGAAGGAGGCAGAGGCAATTCCAGGCTGCACAGATGTCATGGGGGGATGCACACTTGTCCTTGCTTCAGGAAGACCTAGTCCCCTGGGCCAGGCACTGTCCTGGGAGATCCCCAGCTGATGGGGGGCTTGATGGTGACAGACAGAGCCAGGGAAGTCAGGCTGCTGCTGGAGAAGGGGCGAGATCAGCTGGGTCCACGCAGCTCCAGCCTCAGTGCAGCACGGTGCAAAGCTCTGCAGTGGCATACGCATCTGCAGGGGGTTCAGGACCTTGGACCGGGAGAGCTTGGGGCTAGCCATGGGTACAGCAAGACCTCGTAGCTCCATCCAGACTGAAAGCCCAGCCCTCCTTGTGCCATCAGGCGCTGCCCCGGGGGTGGTGATGAGACCGGGGTCTGTTTCCACATACTCAGCTCCCCACCACCTGGCAATGGGTATGGGGGTACACTGGGGGCATGGCCAGTGCACAGTACCTCCATAGCCATGGCCTCTCACCCCAGCACTTTCTTTCCTTTTCCATGCTCCAGAGCACCAAAATGGGGCAGAGCTGTGGCGAGCAGCTCCGTCTCACCCTCGCCCTCCTACTCCTGAATCTGGGATCTGCTGTGACTACAGATGCCCCTCACAAGTGCTATGGGGCTCCTGGCCTTCCAGGCATGCCGGGTGTGCCAGGCAAGGATGGCCGGGATGGGCTGAAGGGAGCCAAAGGCGAGCCAGGTGAGTGAGCAAGGAGGGGAACCTGCAGCCCATTGAAGGGCGGCCACCGAGCCCTCTGTGGCCAGTCTGCCTTGGTCTGCAAGCCAAGGAGAGCATCCTCTGCAGACAGGGCAGGAGGAAAGGTCTTTCACTCCCCACCACACCACAGGCATCCCAGCCACTCCTACAACACGAGGGCCCAAGGGCATGAAAGGGGAATCAGGTACCCCTGGCTTCCCAGGCAAGACTGGCCCCATGGGTCCCCCTGGTCCCCCTGGAGACCCTGGGGTGATGGGCATGGCTGGAGAGCCAGGTATGCCAGGCAGCTACAAGCAGAAGCACCAGTCAGCATTCTCAGTGATGAGGCAGACCAGCGAGCACCCCTTGAAGAACGTCCCTGTGGTGTTCAACCATGTCATCACCAACACCAACAACGACTATAACACCACCACGGGCAAGTTCACCTGCAAGCTCCCCGGCCTCTACTACTTCGTCTTCCACAGCTCGCAGACAGCCAACCTCTGCGTCATCCTGTACAAGAACGAGAGCAAGATGGCCAGCTTCTGCGACCACAAGACAAACACCATGCAGGTCAGCTCCGGTGGGATCCTCCTCCACCTGGGGGCTGGGAACCAGGTCTGGCTGGGGGTGAATGACTACAACGGCATGGTGGGCATCGGCAACTCCAACAGCGTATTCTCAGGGTTCCTGCTCTTCCCGGACTAGAGGACAACCAGAGCCCACCCCAGCACGCCAACCTCTTCACCCTGCCCTGCAAAAGCTGCTGCTCACCACCAGCTGATGCTCCAGGTTTCTCTGCTGGATGGGAAGCCCCAGTGAGGGGGTCAGCCCAGCTCCCAGACACAACCCCCCGACCTGGGGACTGAGAGCAGGCAGCCACCAAACAGGGGGAACAGGCATGTCTGGATGCATCTGCACCCAGGGTGTCAGTGCCAAGCCCCCAGGGTCCATCTGGCACTGCCACGTGCATCTGCCCTGATAACCCCACATTACCTGCTGCTGCCAGAGCCAGAGGTCTCTCTGCATCTCTCCCCTTCCCACCTGGGTTGCACCAGGGACAGCCAGGTATCCTGGAGCAGCAGCTCCTTTGCTATCACCCAGCTGTGGAAAGTCTCAATAAAACCCTCCCCAGCGCACCTGGCCCCGCGTGCTTTTTCCTCCATGATTCGACTTTCTGCAGTGGACCCCACATGTGGTGGGATGGATATGGCGTGCATGCCTGCCTGTGCAGGGGTGACGGCATCTGGGCATCTGCGTGGCATCAGAATGTCCCCGAGCCCTGGGTGGCTCGGCCGTGCTTAGCATCAGGGAGCATCACAGCTCAGTGTCAGGGAGCTCAGCATCAAGGAGTATCACAGCTCAATGTCAGGGAGCTCAGCATCAGGGAGCTCAGCAACAGGGGACATCACATGCCATTCACACCCCTGGCTTTGCTCAGTGGGGCAGGACCCCCAGCTGCACTGACTGCAGGAAGGGGACAGTTCCCATGCTCATGCATACAGCCTCCAGCTAGAGAGGGACCAAGACCCCTCCAAGCAGGGGCCCCGATACTGGTCTTCCCCTCCAAGTAGATGCAGCTCAGTTGCAGAGGGCCACAGACCACACAGCAGACCTCAGAGCCATGCCTCTCCTGGCTGGGACATCCGCAGGGTCCCGGCCTCACCAGGGTCAGACTAGGGGAAGCACTGGCTTCCCAGGGACAGACCAAAGGAGCTCATCGCTGCGGAGGCTACAGAGACCACCAAAACCCAATGGAGATTCCTCCCATTGGCACACACTGTACAGTGGAAAAAGAGGTCACTCCCCTGAATGTTCTGTGCTTCACCTCTGCAATGCCACAGCAGAAAGCAGGACTGGAAATGCTTTTACTGCGGGGTGAAATCACTTCCCTTCTGCCACATTTAGGACAGCCTGGAGGACAGACTCAAGGTGATGGATGCTGAGACTCTGTGGCATCCTCTGAGTCCACCGGTACTTCCCAGCAGAGCTGGGTATGGACGGAGAAGCCCAAGGGATGCTGGCTAAGTGCATGCACATTTCTGCAGTCCTGAGGGCTTGCCCCAAAGTTGTCCGGAGCTCACGGCAGTGTTCCCCATAGCAAGAACACCCAAGCAGGTCCCAGGGGCCCTGCAGGGCAGAGCGGCCACCCCTCTGCTCCCTGGGGCCAGATCTGTGTGCCTGAGGGGCCCCAGGGTGTAATTTGGGGATGGCATGTTCTGCTGAGCTGGCAGCATTTGTGGCAGATATGAAAGTGATACTGAAGAAAAGGCAGGAGCTAAAGATAAAAAAGGGATGTAGCCCAGATGCTTTCACAACAGCCCTTGCAGCAAACTTCTGCTTCCCTCCATAGTCATTCCCAAACAGGAGGCTGGTGTGTCCTGCTCGATCTCCCAGTCCATGCAACAAGATGTTGAAGGTAAGAGCAAGCAGTTGGCGGCAGGAGCACACAGGGAACCCAGCAGCACCAGAGTGCCAGTCCCCCCCTGCATCACTGCACTTGGCTGCGGCAGGAGAGAAGGGGCTGTGGGGCTGTGGGTAGTGGAGATCCCTGGGGGGACCCCAACCCCTCCTGCCCCACCTGGAGGCAGGGGGGAGATGGAAAGGAGAGAGGGCAAAGGCCCAGAGGGGTGATCAGGGACTGAGCATCAGTCCAAAAAGTGCTCTCTTGCCCTGAGATGCTTTTGTCATCTGCCTGGGCTGGGAGCCTGTGGATCAGTCCTGGTACCTGCCACATCTGAACCAGAGCTGCTGCATCTGGAGGATCCGACTCACTGGCCTCTTCCCCCACTGACACCAGAGCTTCAGTGCTGGGAAAGTCCACCTGAGGCCAGAGAGTGTGGCTGGGGG